TTATTTTTAATGCACAGAATATACAGCGCTATAATTTGCTAAATATATCATGCTTATTTAAAAGTGTATGTGTGTATCTATGCTTATTGAATAATGTATACAAAACACATTAGTATTATGTTATGTTTATTTATTAGATTTGATTTTCGTAGACATGGCATTAATTGGCGATAATTTTTCTTAATGTATTTCAATGTATTTGAAAAAAATAATTAAATCAGCTTATTTAGTTTGGTTATTTATCACATATGGGACTGTTCGTTAAGTGCATTGCTCAATATGCTGATACTATTAAGCATTGTACAAGTATGCATGTACTTGAAGTGAGCTTGGGTGTTTATATCAATGCAAGTTATTTTGTGTTATTTATTATTATGCAAGTTATTTTGTATTTTTGGCTGATAGCCGGGCAAATTATATAACACTCTCGCTATCACTCATAACGTCCTACTGTTGATTACAAACTTGTTATAAAATCTATTATTATATATATTATTATGAAATTGTAATGTCATTATTGTTGGGCTCAGGATATGCCGCATATACAGTGTTTCCCGTTTCAGTCACCGCCAGGGACTCCACACCCTTCCCCCCAAAAACACATATACACTATACACACGTATAGTCAGTTTGAGTGACTTTTCCTGTTATTATTATACAACAGAATAATACACACAAAGTGCCGAAAAATAGACAAAATAAATGTATAAAAATTGTTATATTTAATGTAAAATAATAACACCTAGAGCATATTCATTAGAAAATACATGGAAATATTCTGTATATACGGTATATGTATTTTATATTGTAAAATAGTGAGACATCTTTTTAACATAGATGAATGCGGGCGATTCTGTGTGCGCATGCGTTAACTCTATTTGATAACATTGACATTGAAATTGTTGGTGTTGATGCGGCTGCCAAGGTCAATCAATAATGTTTTATATATACCCTTATTTTCACTGCACATACACTCGCCGTATATATTCCGCTATTCCGTTGCACAGAATCTGATGCAAACATTTGGACGTTCATTGTATGGAGACTCGACTGTATCTCTATATCACGCCATACGACTAGAATATAACCCAAAAATCTAATAATATATAATGTATTGCTATCTGAGCGCCGAATCTATACTTTTTTTGCTCAAATATATCGCAAAACTGCGAAAATGAATTGAATATTGTTTGGATATATAGTTATGTAATATATAATGGGTATAAATATTGTATTATGGCATCACGTAATTGTGTGATACATATAATGGGGCGCTAAATATATTACATAATAATACACACAATACAGTATTTGACTTATATTTTAGTCTCAATTTTTAGTTTTATGTTTTTTTTGTTGAATTTCTAACTCGTTATAAATTCAATGTCGAAATATAATCCCCTATTAATGTATATTTGTATGTAAAGTATATACGAGAGCTATTTTAGGTACCAGAATATATGAGATAAACACATTATAAATATCAATCATATTTTACTGTACATATATTTTCACTGCAATATAATATGCATTGCAATGAGTGAACACGTCTTGAGAGTTGAGAGACAGGAGTTGTGTGTGTTTTGAATACCGGAGACTATTATATAATTTTTAATCTAATCTTTGTGTGTCTTTCTCGCTGTCCGTAACCTTATTAATGATTTCCTTCGCCCCCTTCTCTCGCAGCCCTCCCCTCCCACTCCACGCACAGCACTTGAGTCCCATAGAAATATATATATACATGTATATCATTAATATATTCTGTAGTAGAATTACCAATATGATTTATAAACACATTGGTAGATCTCATTTTTACAAAACCCCATATGCTATTCAAATGTTTTTCGATTATAACTAGAAATGTTTTTATTTCTCTCTTTGTGTGTTGTTTCATGAAGTTTATTTTGAAATAACAATTGCCTAATACACAGTCTGGGGCACTAATATCACACACCCGTCGATATAAAACATTTGCTTATTATTTGCAGTCAAAATATTTCAACATGTTTTGACGGATCGCAAAGTTTGCGTGATAATTTACTGATAATTATTATTTCAGGGATTGTCCCTGTACATTAGAATCACCATGATCTAATGATTAGATTATTTTAAAATTCTGTACATGTATTTCTAATAAACTTTTTAATTAGATATATTTGTTTTATTTACTGATAATTATTATTTCAGGGATTGTCCCTGTACATTAGAATCACCATGATCTAATGATTAGATTATTTTAAAATTCTGTACATGTATTTCTAATAAACTTTTTAATTAGATATATTTGTTTGCTTGAAATATACACTGAATCATGCTAAATCCTTAATTTATTATTCGTGGCATAATTTTAATGTGTTTATTAATTTTTAAAAAGGTAAAAATACACTAAAATGCGGATAAAAAGTAGTAATTTAAATATAAATACTAATTGCTTGACTAAATTTAAAACGTCCGGGACATTTAAGCATTAGTGCAAAAGGGTTATAAAAATCACGTAGGTAAATGTGGTGCTAAATTGCAATTAAAAATTCGCACAGGGTAAACCCATATTAGTATTTCAAACACACCGGGGGTTTTCTATTAGTGTTGCAAACTCTAGCCCCGGGATTGTGCCACTGTCTGCACAGCCAAACACAAAACCCAATGTTTATGCTTAATACACACAATATTTTGCCGATGATCAAAACATTCACAAACGTGCATGCGCAAATGCGCGCCTGCGCCATAGCCACCCTAACTGACCTTGATTACACATTTGCAGGGCTCGACAGTACACTCTACAGCCATACAGGAGTCCCAACGCTAGGCATAGCATAAGTGTATGCATTGAGACGACTGCAACACTACAGACAACTTTCAGTATATAATGAACACTCGGAGTGTGTGTTGACTGGCATTCACTTCACACAACTCTCTCGCAACACATCACACATCAAACCCATCACAACAACAAACACTGAACACTAACCGTACGAATCGGTTGACTACATGATAGATATCCGCGAATAGCCGGTAGTGTTTTGGAGAGTAGAGGTTATCTCATCGCTAGACTTATTGACTTCATTGAACTAAACTACTGCCACAAACAACGGGTGCGAACACACATTGACCACCCCATCCATAGGGCCGAAGACTATGCCACACATCAAACACAACAACAACAACGCGTATAACAATCGGCACGAAGTGGTGGCCGAAGAGATGGCACCGCCGGAACAGCACGTGGTGGCCGCCAACCATCACCAGCAACAGCACCAGATTGAACAGTACCTGGAGGAGCACGACCCGTCGGTGACCCGGTGCTGTGTGCCCACGCTGTGCACCGTTGGCCAACTGTTGCACATGACCAATTTGACGGACGCCATCAAGGTGAACTGCAACAACGACAACTGCCGTGAGGGCCGGTATATGCATAAGCGCTGCTTCGAAGAGTGGGAGGAGACGGTGTTGACGTACCTGAGGAGCACCGGCCGCGCCCGCAGTTGGTCCGAGAAGCAGAGGCTCCAGAACTTGTGGACCAAGAAGGGCTATGATTTGGCTTATAAAGTGAGTGATGCTCAAATTGATCATGTTTGTTTTGTTATAATTTATGCGATAACTTTTTGGTAACTTTTTTGGTGTTTTTTGTAAACTTTTTTTTTCGTTATCGATTGCATCGACTTTTTTGTCGGAGTAATTATTTTGTTGTTGTTTTGCCTTTTTTTCGGCCCCAAAATTATAGTCGATTTTTCTCGATATTTAACTATTTATTCACTTATTTATTATTACATATACTTTACGTTAACTGAGAATAAAATATATATGAGATGCGAGTTATATATTATATAAGTTAGAGATAACGCAAAGTTTTTTGTCTCTCAATTGTAATGACAATAACAAACAGCAAAATAAATAAAGTGTTAGTTTTTGTTAGTTTTTTGTTAGTTGTTGTCTATAAATAGGATGTGTTTTATTCCTCCAATTCTATGGAAATTATCGTTTAATGCAATAAAAATTCTTAGAAAATCTCATTTTTGTCTTTCATTTATATTATTAGATATTTTTCTCTTTTAATTTTTGTTCAAAAATTTTATATTTCATCTCAAAAATTGTCGTAAATTTTTATGATATACTTATTTTCCGTACATTTTTCGAAAACCCCTTTTTATATCTATTAATAGCGAAGAGAGACAACAAATTGTTTGTTTTTATTTGACAATTGTTTTCGAGAATATATTGTGAATGGAAAAAACAAAATGATATTATTTTAAACAAAAATCTTATTTTTAGACTTAATGATGAGCTAAACCGAGTGCTCAGAGAGTTGAGAGAGAGAGAGAGAGAGAGAGAGAGAGAGAGATACAGGTATGGGTTGAGAGAAATCATGGTTAGCAAACAAATTATATGCAATTATATTCTGGTGTATGAATAGAGATAGAGAGAGAGAGAGAGAGAGAGAGAGAGAGAGCCAAAGAGGTGTCAGCCCTTTCATTCATGGGTTTTAAATAATTTTTTTCTGTAGATAATTATATAAAAAATTATATAATTTGTTAGAAGAGAGCGAAATATCGTTTAGTATTAATATATTCACGTTTTGTGTTACCCTTCGTTGCCTTTAATTGTGGTTCACTTAAGAATTTCATTAATATTATAAAAGTTAAATATTTAAAGGCATAGTATGTATGCATTTGTTTCAAGAATTTACTCATTCAACGAGTGTTTTCTTGAATACAAGAATTGAGACAAAACTATGCATTAAAATAATTAGAAGTAACAAAAAATACTTTGAAATAATAATTATAAATGAATGAAAAAACACCACCAATTCGTTGACTCCACTTTCCCTTCCCTTCTGCCACTAACTTCTCTCTCTCTCTCTCTCTCTCTCTCTCTCTCTCTCTCCCTCTCGTAGTATAACTACTATTCAGTCAAACATTTAAATAAAAGCCAAATGTCTTTACATTTTTCTCTCTCCCAGTCTCTGACTCTCGGAGAAACCAAATGTTGTTTTAATAATAACTTAATAATGATTTTCGTTAAGATTGAAGAGTCAGTCGTCAGTCAAATAGCGAGAGAAAGAGAGACAGATATTGAAAACAAAAAAACAAATCTTACGTTTGAAAGAAACGAGAGAATGAAACAAAAATTAAATATAAAAAATAACGTTAAATTCATTTCACATTCTCCTCTCCACTCTATTTGAGATTTCATTCAAAACAATTATGTCTCACAAAAAACACATTCATTCACTCTCTCTCTCCCTCTCTCTCTCTCTCTCTCTCTCTCTGTAAACGCACGGTTCTCTCTCTCTCTCTCTCTCTCTCTCTCTCCCTCTTGGAGTATAACTACTATTCAGTCAAACATTTAAATAAAAACCAAATGTCTTTACATTTTTCTCTCTCCCAATCTCTGACTCTCGGAGAAACCAAATGTTTTAATAATAACTTAATAATGATTTTCGTTAAGATTGAAGAGTCAGTCGTCAGTCAAATAGCGAGAGAAAGAGAGACAGATATTGAAAACAAAAAAAAACAAATCTTACGTTTGAAAGAAAGGAGAGAATGAAACAAAAATTAAATATAAAAAATAACGTTAAATTCATTTCACATTCTCTTCTCTCCACTCTATTTGAGATTTCATTCAAAACAATTATGTCTCACAAAAAACACATTCATTCACTCTCTCCCTCTCGCTATCTCTCTCTCTATCTCCCTATTCATACACCAGAATATAATTGCATATAATTTGTTTGCTAACCATTGGCTCTGATTTCTCTCTCAACCCATACCTGTGTTGACTCCACACACCTGTTAGGCGTGCGGTTGTAAGTGCGGAAGGGGTCACCTGAAGAAGGACTTGGATTGGATACCACCGGCGGTGACGACACCCGTCGAGGAGAACAAGAAGCGCCGCAATCGCAAGAAGCGAAACAATGACAAACCGACGGTCAATATCAGCAGTACTGTCGTCACAAACAACGGCAACACCAAAAACAACAACAACAATAATAATACAACTCTGGTCTCTATTAGTAACAATTCAACCAACAATAATAGCAATAATAATAATAACCATAATCTAAATAATAATAATAATAATCATATGAATGGCACGACAACCGCCATAACGTTGGTGTCGCGCGAGTCGGCCGCCGCGGCCATCCGTATGCGCTCGTTCTCGATGTCGTCGACCGGCTCCGGGGGTTCGTCGGACGGCACGTCGCCGCCGATGTCGTCGGCGGGCGAGTCGTCTGCGTCGCCAAACTTCCGCAAACTGTTCTTCTCGGACGCGTCGAAACGGGAGAGGCATTCTTCGGGATCGATATTCTCGCGTCGGGCCGACTATTCGTCGTTCAATACGCTGCCCCGGCATAAGATCAACTCATACCACATCAAGATGGAGGACGACGGCAATCACGGCAACGACGAGACCCGGTGTTTCATACTGTCGACACTGTCGGCCAATAAGATGGATCGCACGGCGTGCGTGATCTGTTCGGGCACCATGATCATCTTTGACCGCTATCCCCTCATCGACGGTACGTTCTTCTTGTCGCCCCGACAGCACAATAAGGCGGCCG